CGGAGCCGTGTGCCCGCTCTGCCCGGGGGCCTTCGGAACTCAGGGACAGTGTTACAAAACATAACCCTGAAGATATTCCTAACTGGAAGCGGAAGAAAATGCATTTTGCTGGTGGTTTGGTTTTTGTTTTGTGTTTTTTCCTCTGTAAAACATCACTTGTGTTTCTTACTTTCTTTAGCTTTTCAGTACGTTGTAAACTGCAGTGGTACTGTTGGTCTGATAATTAGTGCATCTAAGTGGAAAGATTTTGAGTGAAATGAGTTGATGGGTTATAGGTAACAGCTGTGTTCCGTGCTGGGTGAAGCATAATTTTTTAGAGTAGTCAAGGTTAGAGAATACCAATAATGTCAAAGGAATAAAACAAAATTATATGGCTCTTACACACATTATCTCTGTAGATAGTGCACATTAGATGGCACTTCCCTGTCCAGAGTACCTGTGTTTAGTAGGGTAAAAATGAAACAACTCAGATTCAATTACAGTTAAAAACTCAGGAAGACAAAAGCAGCACCAAGGCCAGTGTGGTTTCTGTTTGTGCACTTCATGTCTCATTTTCCATACATACAGTTGGTTTGCAAAAAGTAAGTAAATTCCAAGGTGGATAAAGAATAAAGTAAAGAATAATTCCAACACCTTTATTATGCTACTAGAGAAATCAGGATCATCTTCCTCAAATATTCAGCAGCATGTCTTGGAAAAATGAAGTGGACCAAAGAAGCACATTGACACTTGTTAGAGTTAAAGAAATTTAAGGCCATTATTTTAAAGGGATATTACAGAGGTTCTAGAGTAAGGACTTTCAYGGAAGTTATTCATGCAATTGAATACACTGGAGTATATTTTCTTGAAATATTGATGAAGGCATTTTTAAGAAATGGAAACAGTTAAACCAAAAAATCAACAAAATAGTGTGATATACCACAATTACTTAAATAATTTGCAACAGCAACTCCACTGCCTGCTGTTGCATGCAAACTCTGCCTATAACACCTTTCTTAAAATGATCAAGCATGGCATTACAGGTGTTTAGATATCCTGCTTGCATGCATCTATACCTGAGAGGCTGTCCAGAACTGTGCTGCTTTCATGCTTAYGCTGAATTTATTTTGTTTTCACATTTTTCATGTAATTTTTTTTGAGTGCTCTGACAGTATTCTTCAGTTTAATAACACCTTTCTTAGATGTTAAAAGTTGGATATCGTTTAAGCTCACAGTGTTTATGAAATTATTTGAATTTTGTTTATGTAATTATTTGAGGCTTGCTACTTTTCTTCCAAAATGGGAGAAGATCAGGCAGTTTAGTATTCTCCAACTCAACTTTAACTCTGTGGAAGGCCTGGGGGAAATATTATGTGATTAAATTATAGATACTTAGAGGTGGTGACCTGGTGGAGGGGAAAAAAATCACCTCTGCTTTTTAATAATATCAGATTAACTGGTGTAGAAGGTGAGAAGATTCGACTGATACACAAGATTCTGATTTTGATAAAACTTTCTACATTATCGCCCCTGTGAGAATTGCATTTCAGAGAAGTGTGGCAAAGATACGGTTCTTATCATTTGTGTTCTCAAAAGGATTAAAAAGATACTATGAAATGTAGTTTCCATGTGCTTGCCGAATTAAAAGGTATCTTTGGAGGTAAGGTGGATCCTGCAGAAATAATGTAGGCTGTAATATCATGAAAAAACAGAAATGTCATTACAAGACAGAGGAAATTGTCAGAAAAAAGTTGTCAGTTGAGTGAAACACGAAACAGGACTCTTCAAGTATATTCAGKCCTCAGATGGAGTAATTTTTCAGCTCTGTGGTGCCATTGTGGAGATGATGAAGATAAACTGTAAAATCTAGAGGAAAGCAACATAAAAGGTAAAGGTATTCCACCTTTAAAGAATGCTTGAAGGAATTGACTTAGTTTATTTAACAAAAGTCTGTGAARTTCTGTATGTTCTACATTGAGAGTGAWGATTGTGTTTCATAACTTGGGAAAGTACCTCCAAAATGAAGGATCAGGTGTTAGGAAAATACTGCTCTTTTTTAGGAAAGAGCACTCTGGTACATAACTAAGGTTTTTAAGAAGTTGAACAGCCATCTGGCAGCAGTAGCATAGATTGTCAMAGTTCTGCTTCAGTGCTGGAGCCAGGACTTCAGCATCCCAGGCCAGGCCTGTGGTTGTCCTTTTGGCCATCCCAGTGTTTTTGCTTGATTTTCCATTTGTCCTAGAAGGAATTTTTAAAACTGGTTTCTTTGACTTGGTACTGCCTAGTTTCATTCTGTTTCTGTTATGCCAGAGCCCTTTCCTCCAGACACAATATTATATAGAGAAATAGTCTGTTATATTTCTTTCCAGGGTTTCATGTCTCCCTGCCTTAAAATTATTCTCCCTTGTGAATACTTCAGAATGWTTCTGTCTTGCTGTCCAAAGGCTTCTCAGGGAGTAAGAAAAAGRAAAATTCATGCAATTGTCAGTTACCCAGCTGTCGGCTGAACTCTGAAAGCATCTGTGAACAGAGTTGTGCTAAAGATCAATTACAGCAAATATGACAGTGAATCTGGGCAAAAAAAACCCAGAAGGAGCATGGTTTGCAGCCCTTTAAATTCTGCTGAATTTGTTAATAATACTGAAACCAAAGGTTTCTGTTAGATTGTTAGATTCTGTACATAATTTTTTCCTCAGTAGACAGATGCAGGACTATATTTCAGTACAGCTGAACTTTTCAGCAGTACCATATTTGCTTTTTTTCTTTTTTTTTGGCAGAACAAAAATCAAATGGCTTTCGTATCTTGCCTTTTTATACTGCATATTTGAATGAAAAATCCCTGTGCTGAAATCCCTAAGGCTCCAAGGTTAAAGAGATCCTAATTCAAAGAAACATGAGTGTCTCATTATACACCCTCCCACAAATATATCTTCAAAATATTTATTACCTTTTTSTGTAAATTATCTTGATAGTTTTTTATTTGTTCATTTTGTCTTGGGGCCGTTAAAATATTTCAGTGGAGATGGAAATTTCTTGTTTGATCTTTAAACCTCATGCTGACAGCAGCTTTCAGAGTAAGATGTGTAAATCACAGTTTTCAGTCATTTTTTCTCAGTAACTGAAAGTGTTTCTTTGTAGCACTAACAAAACTGTAGGGGGTAAGATTTAAACCTGCAGGAGACCTTGATTTTTGACTTTTTCTGTAACTTTGTAAACTTTGCAGATAAAGTATCTCTTTGTGGCCTAAAACGGTTAACGTGCAGGAGAGAGTGATGTAACTAGGTAYGGAATGTCTCTGCAGCTTGAATGCTATAAAGTGAGTAGTCCCAAAGCATTTTTGGAGATGGTAACATCTGTATAGATTGTGGGATAAACTCCAGCAGCCTTMCAGTTGTATCTAAAATTTGCTGTTGCAGTAATTTAAACATCTTTGTCACCTATATTGATATCTCTATTTCCTATCGTGATAATGGGAACTTTTTCCTTATCACATGAAGCTTAACTTACAAGTCTGCAGCACACTGGTGGTTCTATTATAAAAGGAGATTTCAGTCTCTGCTGCTTTATATTCCACATCCAGCTCTACCTGACTAAAAGGGATGTGTCTGTCAATGTTACATTGCTGCCGTGTTGCTTCTGTAAGATCCTGGGAGAGCAAGGCTCCTTGGTTTTGCAGCTGGTGGATCCAGCATCAGACCTTCTTTATGAGACACCGAACATGTAGGGTCACTTCTCTGATGCAACTGCAGTGTTCTTTTTTTCCAACAGCTTTCATGATGGCTCGATATCATTGAGGAAACAAGTTTGGATTTCAAAATTGCAAAGTAGTAACAAATGTAAAACATATGTTAAAAAACCCCCTTGTTGCTTCATATGTTCGCACCACTTCCCAAGACTTGTCTTTGTGGTTGCGTTTCCATCTGATTCTAGGCAAGGATATTTCYAACTCTAAGCTGCAAAATGAATGTATAGATGCAGTTCCAGTTCTGTCATCATGTCATAAGGGATAAATTATGCTCTGAGTATCTGAAGTGACATTTTAGCAGAAAGAAAATATAGTCTATGGTTCCTTTGATAATTTTTATTGCACACCTAAAATAAGTATATTGCACTGTGTATGTAACAAAGCAGATTTTCAGATTTACTCAATGTTTCAACATTCTCCATTGCTGTAGATTTTCCTTTCATTTTTCTGGGGTTTTGTGGTTTTTTCTCCCTTATCCTGTTATCACTGCTTTTACAGGTACTTTGCTTCTCCTTGTGAATCTTGTCTCTGGTGTTTTTTACATGGCGTGCCTAGTGTTGCCAAAGGAGTTAGCTTGAAACAGTGAAAGGTTTTTCTATGAATAAAWATGTTTCTAAAATCTATTTCCATCAGTGTTTATGAGCACAGACTGTACTACAATGCCATCTACACTGCTGCCTTGAACAGTGCAAGTTTACTTTGGTAAACACTCTGTCAAGGGATGCCGAGAATGCATGTCATGTACAGGACAAGAAAAAGGTCAGATTAGAACAAGTCCCTAACATTGCTGCAGCAATGTGGTCAGTGCTTCCAGGCACCAGTAGAGAAGGTCAGTGGCATCTCAGGCTCTCAATAATAAGACAGTTGTTTTGACAAGCAAAACAACTTTTCCAGACATCAGGGCATGAAATTACATGTCCATGGATTAGTTTTCTTCACTGGTGAAGTCAGGGTCCTCTGGGAGCAAGGACTGATGCCCAGAGATGTTTTGCAGATATTGTGAAATATTTTGTTGTCCTGTGAGTTGCTGAAAGTTTGCAGGGTTAATGGGTTAAATTTTCATAGATTTCTTTAAATTCAGCATTTTTAGTTTCTTTCATAAAAAAAATGCTGAATTTGGAGTCCTGGGGTATGCTAAATACAAGACACATTTTTCYTTACAGATTCTGGAGGAACTGTCTGTAAAAAGATGATATGAACACTGAGAAATATGGAAATTTTTTCTTGAGAGTAATCTCAATTCTGTGATCTTATTGTTGCTATCATGTCTATGACCAGAAAATGTTGTTACATTATCTTTTGATATTGTTTGAACAAGGATTACTGCAATCAGCATTTTTCACTTTTAGATATGTCAGTGTTATTGGTAACATCTTTCACATTATTGCCTTGAACAATTCATAATACTGAATTGCAGGACTTTTATTAATATCTATTACTTCATGTAACTTCACAATAAAATYTGACATATGCAGAACAGTTGATTTTAATGTTAATATATTTTTGAGAGATGAATAGAAGCTGRTATTCACCCATGAGAAGATAATTCTGACTTCTAGTATTTGTAGATAAATTCTCATTGCCTGTAAAAATCACAAGTATTGCATTTGCAACCCAGAACAGCAATAAATACAAAACTGTTTTTAGAATTTAAAGTTGTTGCTCCCAATCAGTGAGTAACAGAGTTGTTTTTATGCTTTAGTGAATTGTATTTTATATATTGGGTCTCTAGGCCTATGAAGAGATATCTTTGACTTCTGCTGTGCTTCTGCTTTGCATCTCCTGTTCATCTGTATGTGTTTGAATCCACAGTGTGGAGCTGTTCCAGGCAAAAGCACCCCTAGAACTGTTTGTGCTGGTGTGGAAGCCAGGGTGTTCAAGCTGAATGGGCTTCTGTGGGCTCCAGTTTGTGCAGTCTGAATTTGTTGACTTCCATCGTTCAGTTGACTGTTAGGTCTTTAAATTTCTGAATTCTCCTTTTGAATCAACACCTTAAATTTTTCATTCTTAATCTTTGAGAACAGTTTTCCAGATGTATGTGACAAACAAATAGGCAGTCTCTAGTACTTCAGATTTCCCRTCTGTTTAATTTCAAAACATAAAGAGGGTATTTGCATTGTTTAATTCTGTTAGAATGGACTAACCTGGCACTTGGGGGAACTGAGATTCTCTGTTAAGCCTCAGAACAGAAAGAGAAGAACAGACTTGCCTGTTTTCATTGTGTGTGTTTAGTTGTTTAGTCCTGCTCTGGGTCTYCAATTTCTTCAAGGGATTGTGATAGTAAAAGCATTAGATTAATGTTTACCCTATAGATTCTTTTTATGTTCTTTCACGCAGGTTTCATTTTATTGCAGTTTTGAGCTGGGCCTGACACATCACAAGAACACCAGCTTGCCACAAGATGTAAACACTTTCTCATTGTACTTTATCTTGGCTAAATTTGAACCTGGGAGTAGTGGAAATTATAATTTTAATGAGGAATTGAAATTTTGGTTTTTAGAAGCTTATGGAGAAAAAATGAAGGTGGTGTTCAGAGAATACAGCTCAACCACCCGGGCRGATTTGGGTTTCAAACAGTTGCAGWGTGAAATTCCCTTGCTGTCTGACCAGCCCAAGCAATGTGTGTAATGCAAAATGACAATGCTGTGGCTGAAAATGCCCTTTTTTTGCTCATGTTCACTTTGAGGAACATATGGGTTACTACCTTTCCTGCATTTTTCTTAGATTGGTTTCTATTCCATGTATTTTCTTTGGTTTAAAGCTTATCATGAATTGGACATTTAACAAACAAAGGTTTTGTTTTCTCATAAGACATTGAATAGGA